CTTTAGGGAAAAACAAATACATTTCCTCTCCAACACAGTAAATATACCCCCAAAAAAAAAATCTTCTCCCCCCCCTCCCTTTCAAATAGCTTGGGAAAAACTTATTTAAAGTAAATATATAGATATAGAGATTTAAAAATGTCATGAAAATGAAAAAACTGAAAGAAAAAAAAAAAAGAAGAAAAAGTTATAGAGGTCCCAAACTTATCACTTTCTTGATGATACTTTTTAGGATTAAATAAGTGCCTAGTGGGGAATTTTATTCTCTTAGAATGTCATAATTATTAATTATTTTTAGACTGATGTACAATTGACCTTCCTCATCCTGAAATTTATCATTCTGAGTTGAATTCAGAGGTAGGGCAAGGGAAGCCAGGGGCGATCTCCTTCCTCAAAATAAGGAAATAAGTGCCAACAGAGCCATTCTTAGGCATATAGGCAAACTAGGCAACCGCCTAAGGCCCCACTACCACCTGCATATCCATATATTTCAGAAGTACACATTTTCTCTAGTGGCGGAATTATCAATATGGTTAGTGGTTACACGCGAGCAAATAGGAAACATTGATGAAGGCAGAATGGAGGTGCCGCAGTGATGGGTGGTATTTTCTCCTCAGCTCGAGGGAGCTCCACCCCCGAACCCCCCCCCCTTCCGGGGCCCCCAACCTACGCTCCATGCTTAGGGCCCCCAAACTCCTAAGAACGGTTCTGTGAGTACTTTCTTTTCAATAATGTCTGGAATGAAAATCAAGCTTTTACACTTTGTCTAAATAGGCTACTTCTTAAATATCTATATTCTTTTTTTTTCCCCTTTAATTACAAGTATTTTATTTTCACTTGCCATTGACAAAGAATTAATATAAATCATTTTTACAATGAAAAAGAAGTACCGGTATAATGACCAGTTTATAATTAATGCATTTTTAATTAACTTTAACCTCAAGAAAAAAAAATTGTCTCATGCTTATTCTGATCTGAATACCCAAGTTGACTCTGACTTAATATGCTAATATGTTATAATAAGTAAGAATCAACAGTAAATTCACAGAAGAAGCTTAATAACTTCACACATGCTCTGCTATTAGGATTTACCATTAGAATTGTTTTATATTTAATTTGAAATTTACATGACCTTAGTTTTACTTATACTTTTTTTAATTAGCTTAATAATTCTAAATTAAATCATTACCTAGCGCTGACCTTCATTTTTCTGTACTATAGACTAATGTTAGGGCTGTCAACTGGTTCCAGCCCAAGGCTAACTACACAGGCAATTTAAAGAAATTATTGTAAAAATCATTTAAAGACTATAACATTTATAATAACAATTTTTTTACGCTTGACCAGCTCCTGCCATTAGCACCCGCTGTCGCAACCCAAATGCCCACTACCGCCTGTCTACTACGCAAGCTGGTGACAGATTGTGACATATGATATATTATGCTCGTTTTGGGGCGTAGCAACTCAACTACCATACATTTGTCTGCTAAAATGTTCTCGCATGAAGGACCTGTTATTTCTTTTAATGAAATCTGTAAGAATATATCTACTTTCAATAAAAGGTTACAAAAGTTGAAAGGTCAGCATGTCTTAGCAAGCTCATACTATACATAGTAAAATACATAGTAAATGTGACAACATGCTAAGTTTCCTCAACTCGCAAGTTTCAATAGATATTGAAACAATCGAACAGATCGACGTAGAATTTATGGAAACTAATGTACAGAGTGATAATGATCTTTTAGTTGAAGATATCTGGAAAAAAAAAGACTATAAAAATCAAACTGTAGATAATCATAATAAAACACGCCAGTGAACGTAATGACTCCTTGCCTTATAAACTATTCTGCTTCGTTGGGTACCCCTGGTTACCTGGCTAAATTAGTCAGAGTCAGAGGGTGACTGCATTTATTGATGGTCCCTAACTAAATAAATATATAATAAATCCAAATCAGCATAACAATATTATTTTTCCGAAGAACATCATCACAGACAGAAGCGTTCTTTCTTTGTGTAACCACAAATCACAAATAATTTTTAATATTTTGGACACCAAGTTGAGTATAAGAATTAGAATTACATTTACATAGAAATAACTAAGACTAAGAGTAGGCCTAAATACTAAACCTAGAGTAATACTAATACTAATACCCAGTCCATACATTAGTCTAGTCTAATTATTATTAATATTATTTATTATTATAAATATAATAAAAATATCCTAAAATAATAAAATTTAAAATAGTAATAGGACTAGCTATTTGAGTTGTAATTTTTAAAACTTCATGATTTATTGGGATTGTCGCTGTCTGTGATCATTATCCACTGAGGAATGAAATAACAACTTGCTAATCAGCTGTGCGTGTAGTGAGTAGTGTAAGTCAAGCAAGTGTGACTGCGACATCTCACACTGCACTGGCACAACGTCCGCGATCTTACAATTTATAATTATTAATATATTATATATAAAATATAAAGCCAAAGCCGCTATTAAAGACGACTAACACACGCAAAAGTAATAATATACTATAAATCTCCAAGAAATCCTTACACTTTTTGAAAACACGAGTCAATAACTTGATAACATTATTTGTACAATCAAAACTAACCATGAACACGAGTGCTCTATATTTGGCTGACGTGAGTCAAATCCAGCAGTCAGAGTGCGTGAGCAAAATCAAAATAGCCAAGAGGAGACAAAAACTTAAACCAAACCTTTTTCCCGAAAATATATTTTTTTTTTTTAATTTTAATTTGATTTAATCAAATTGGAGCAATTTTAAGTTTTGATAATTTTTGCAATTATTTATCCTAAAACTGATAATATTATTGAACTTGAATAAATTTTTATCCAAAACTTTCTCATGGTTGTAAATGTATAGGTCAAGACAATTTCAAGTAACAAGTATAAAGTCAGCCTGTCTTTTTCAGATGGACTTCGTTTATGGACTCCCAATTATCGCGTTACCAGAGGGCTTCATTGTCATTGTAAAATTAAGCAAGCCCTAATAACAAAGTTTTTGGAGTATAAGTCAAATCCTTCATAATAATTTATATGCATTTTATTTTATCATTATTATTAATTTTTTTAATGTATTTGTACGAGATTTATTATTTATGTCAGGGGTGGGCAAACTGCGGCCCAGCAACTGATATTATGCGGCCTTCGAAGGCATTTAGAAATATAAAAAAAATTAATTTGTTTTTAAGTTATTTTTTTGAATTTTACAGAATTTCATGTACCACTAGGATTGTTTTTAACATTTTTGATCAACTTTCTAATTTTCAATTTTTTTTTAACAGTCCTTGACTCTCGTCATGCTAAGATGCGAATTTACCGATTTTAATATAGAGAAATGTTTATCAACACGCAAAAATTGGACATAATATACATGCGGCCCCCAAATAGCTTTACATTTCTCAATTTGGCCCTCAGCACAAAAAGTTTGCCCACACCTGATTTATGTGATTTTAACAACTGATTTTTTGGTATGGAAATGGTTTTTATCAAACTTAGTTCATGTCACAACTTATATCTATAAATTAATTGATTTTGGTGGGGGGTTTTTTGGTTTTTTTGGGGTGGGGTGTCTGAAAGTATCTTGTAAGTATGCTTTGAAGGGGGGGAGTAAAAAAGATGTACACATGCAACGGGGGGAGGTCAAAATTTTGACTTTTTGCGTATGTACAAAATGGATGGCCCCTTAGCAACAGCTACACAATTAATCTCCATACCAAAACACGCACCAATTGAATAAATCAAATTTCATTCACCCACCATTAGAAAATTTGTTTTTTGGGGTAAGGCTGAAAATATGATATAAAATGTAGTCGTCTGCAACGAGTCTTTGTGCCAAGTTTCAGTGTGACACGATGACGGGAAGTGAGTAAATAAGCCCATCTGAACATTTTGCAACCAACACACGGACAAAAGCTAAATTAATATAAAAGATTTAAATATACACTATTGTCAAGTGTTTCTTTGAATATTCTTAACTTTGATGAAGATTTAACGATAAGCATTTCTTTCAATCTTAAAAGGCTCACCCAGGCACTTTCCTTATAAAATAAACACTTTTTTTTATTTGATTGAAATTTACCAGAACATTCTTTGTAAATTAGCCATTTTTCACTAATCTCTTTAATTTCCAGGGGGTTCTTAGGCATCATATGATTACCATTGTACAAAAAAGGTTCATATCATTAAAATCCTTTATCAATAAATTTTTCCTAAAAATGTGTGTTGGTCTATTTAAATTTATTTATAGCAGCTATTAATACTGACATCCAGAAATTGTGTGTGGAAGTCAGTGTATATTGTGACTAAGACAGGTGAAAATAATGTAAAACTAGGAAAGCTGTACATTGAACATCTTTGACCAGTATTAAATAAGACTTGGTAGCAATGTCAGATCTAGGGTTCTCTAAATGTGACCCATGTAAAATTTGATGGTCAGCTCTTAAATCTCAAGCATTCCAAGAATGGAAAATCAGACTACCTTTAAAATGTTCATGTTCTGATGGCTACACACTTGACCAGACGAACAAAATGTGCTCATGGCTCCCCCCACATTACAACTGTTAAGTGGTCCAAAGAAATTTTCAACTTATGTGTTAAAAGTATCACTGCAAGGCAATCTAAATACAATTTGTTTGGATATATTCATATTCAAGGATAATATATCCTCAATGAAATAATATTGAGATCAGGCAGTACATTAAGATGATGAAATGATTCTTTCATTTATTTCCAAAAGAAATCTGCATAAATAATTGCAAAATCTTTTGCAATATGTCACGTTGGAAAGCCTAAACTATAATATTTTAAGCATCCCTTTGGTGTGCCTCTATTTTTTTTAGGTTTACTTTTTCTTCCATTTTCTATTCTAGTAAAATTCAATTCACAAAAGTTTGCTGTAACACATTTAGTCTGCACCATTCTTTTCCCACTCACTTTCAAGCATTATCAGTTAAATAATTAAACAACACATGTTTATTACCCCAAAACAAATCATATCATTTGTTTTACTTTGAATTGTACTTATCCCAAATGAAAAAAAAACATGGCATTTTTTAAAAAGCAAAATATGGCAACAATGGAAACGGTCAGTTTCACTCTTCTACCTGTAGAAATTAAACAGCCTTACAGATTTAAACACATGGATTTCATCATAATCATTTGTTAAATTGAACATCATTTTCTTTTAAATGTAATATTTTATCTCTAAAAAAAAAAACAACTCTAGACAAAGTGATTGGAATTTGTATATGACTAATGGAACAATTTATTGACATGCATAAAAACATGTCTAAGTTTTGATTAAGTTGAGTATTAGTTTTTTTTGTTATTTTAAGTTTTTTTATTACAATACAAGTGCCAGTTCTAAAGAATGAGCAGACTAAAATCTTAATAAACCGAACCTTTAAAGATGAAATGTTTTTGTAACCAACATTTTTTAAAGCATATTTTTAGTGAAAATATTTACATTCAATCAACAAGCTAAAACTGTTTAAGATGGACAGTAAGGAATGAAGGATTCTTTCACAGAGTCCCACTGTTTATAAATATTATGACTGCTCAATTAAAAATAATGAGATTTATACATGTTACCGTACATCCAGAGTGTCTTGTTACAACATATATTTCAATAGATATAAATTATTATCCTCACCAACCAAAAGATAATTTTAACAGGACGAGACATAAAAAATACATAAGACCCCATTGAAATTGTGACAGACAAGTTATTTTAGAAATTAAATCAATATGAAAATAATGTTTAGTTTTAAAAATTGTCCAGGCTTGCCAAGGTATAATTAATTTAGTGAGTAAAACAAAGACCTCATAAATATCATTCTTACTTATCACATGATGAATAAACTGCATCAAAATTCAATTTGGTGACATTTTGAGTTAGATAAAATTATTAACAAATGATACAACTGCAGATTATAGTTCAATTGTACCTAAAAAATTATTTTCACAGCAATTGTGCGATTGGATTATCTTTAGGGAGCAAGTTATCTAAATTCAGGGAATTCTATTTTCTTAAAACGTTATGTTATGTTAATAGCCCCAAATGAACAACATTTAAAGTCACAAGTGAAGATTGAAAAAAAGTTAAGATGCTCTAAAAGGTATGCCACTTGAACAAGACAGGTTACTTTGCATAAAATTTATAGTAATAAATTTATCACAGGTTGTGAGTACCACAATAGAGTAAAACCACTGAGTCATCAGTGAACCTGTAACAGAATCTGACTTAAAATTAAACAAATACAAAAAATTAACAAGTGCACTTACCATATTTTTATAACCCTCATCTACGCAACAGAAATTAAATTTTTTAGTTATAAATGGAAAACAGCATATGTCTGCCATAAATGTTTTTTGCAAATAGAAATACACACGTCTTTAAATCATTCATGGCAAACATAAACTGATCAGAACATGGAACTAATAAATAATATGTGGAAAAAACTGAATTTTTAATATTTAAAGAATTTCTAAGTGGTCTTCAAAGTTTGTCAAAATGTTTTTAAGCATAAAACTAGTAAACTAAATAAAAGCAAATTCAAATAAAGTACAATGCATTTACTGTTTATAATGCAACTTTTCAGACTTTGTTTTCGTTTCCTTTATTCTTTTCTATTATTTAGGCAAGATACATATATTATGTAAATTTAATTTATACTTATTTAAATGGTTTGTTTTTTTGTACTGATGAAGGCATTTGCCAAAACGTTTACATTTGTATTTTGTAAAATCATCATTAAAGCTGAGCATATATTGCTTTATTTAGACAAATTGTGTCCAATTAATCTACTTTAAAGCTTTATCGCAGTTCAACACCCTTGTTTTTAGCTTCAATGCATAGTTTTAATTTTAAATGCCTGATTTATAATAAAGCTGGAAGTAGAAAGGTACTTAAAGTTAAGCAGGAAATGAAAAATTTTAAACATTTGTTAAACATTTTTCTTTCAATCAAGTTCACTTCAAGAAACAATTTATTTTACAATATCTTGAATTCTTATAGATACACAAGCAATCAAATCTTTGACACCAAAGAAATTCAAACTGAATAAATTTGATTTATTTTTTTTTTAAGTTGATGCAAATTTGCTACATTCTACTTCTGCAAGTGTATATAATATATACATCATTAATTAATATTTTTCAAATGGTGTTTTAATTTGCACATAGTCGAATTAAATGGATGAATTTAGTAAAATTTTTATCTAAATGCATATTGTATTTGTTGTTTTATTATTTTTGTTTGGTGCATGTTAAAAAAGCAACTGTTATTGGTATATTTGAGAATATTTATAGATGATTCATAACTGATGTTCAGTCTCCATAACCTTATAATATAAAATGGTCATTCAAGGAATAAATTAAAAATAAAAATTTCAGGTTAGGAGGTCCTCAATAATAAAATATATTATTTCACTATTTTTTTCTCACTTGAAATTTAAATAAAAAGATAAATTGTTTCATAACTTTAAAAATTTTAATATTTAAAATATAAATAGAGTACTAAAATTATCAAAAGATTTTTATCTAACACTTTAAAAATGAATGAATTTCAAGCAAAAGTAAGAAAAGTTTAAAAAGTTATTTGAAAATTGCACCTAAACAATTTTTGAAGTCAGTAATACTCAAGTATACTTTACCCAAAAGGATGAGTGAGATCTTCTTTTTTAAATAATATCCACAAGACCAAGCAAAAAATGAATGATTAGTTATAAATGATACAGATGTACACTCGTTTTCAGTACAGCAGGCATTACATGATTAAAAATAGCCCTAAAATTTTTAGCTAACACTTTTGTATTATCAGACTTTTTAATGATCCATAATTTTTAAACTTAACAGTAAAAATTTAGTTTATTTTGAAATTAAGGTGAAATGGTTTTCCTCCAAAATCTTGTTAATTTTATTTATAAAATACAATTAACATATTATTTTTTACAGATTAAAAATCACTACCACCAAAGAAAATGTTTGTTTTTTTACCCCAAATTTATATGACAAAATGTGGATGAAGTGCTATAAAACTTAAATATGACAAGTAACAATGAAACAAAAACATTTCAGTAAGGTGGTTTAGAATTCAACAAAAATTAAAATAGAAAACTCAGAAGAACTCAAAAACTACTTTTCGTAAGCTAATTAGGACACTTATACCTAGGCTAAGAATACCGTAGAAGAAAATGTTGTCCAAAACTTGGCTCAATTTTTCATTATATACATTGCTTACATTTCTAGAGTCAGGAATAATTAGAAGTAATTTAGAAAGGGAAAACCAATATCTTCTAAAGCACTGACAGAGTTTATTTATCTCTATTGATTAGTATAAATCAAATACTGGCAATAAAATGCATATTCAAGTATTAAATAATACTCTTTCATATTAATTTTAAACAAATATTAGTCAATAACTATGGGACAAATTGAAAGGTAAATTATCAATCACATTTGATGAAGTATTTTACAAATAACTAAGCATAACAGAAAAAAGCTATGATTTGAGCCAATGTTTACAAGAAGTATTTATTTTTAACTGTTTGGTTTTGTTAAGTTATCTTTCAAACTAACATAATTAGTACTCAGGTGAGGTTGAATATTTTAAGAAAGAAATTATTTTTTTTACAGATGTGGGTTTTTGGGGGTAGAGAGAGAGAGGAAGAAGAGTCACACAAAATCAAAACAAATCACCAACTTTAAAACACTGACTTATTGAAAATTTAAAGCTTTAAATAAATTATAAATGTGTAAACTTCTCATTACAAGAAAACATGTAATCATTTTATTGTTTTCAAAATTTTAAATTATGTTAAATTGAAACTGTAATCTAGGAATTGGTTTCAAAGAAAGTGGATGTCAAACCAGAGCTTCATTTCACAGAAACAAAACTCATTTCAAGATTTAACATAAAATATTATTTCAAACAACAGCAGATTTCTCCTCAACCTCATTTATATGTAATATTGCTTTGCCAAAAGGTCAAGAATTCATATTATTATTATTTATTACTGCTTGGTTCCCAGTTATTTACATACCCATTGAATTAAATTGTAAAACATTAAAATTTTAAAATTTAAAGCAAAAAGACTGTGTTTTATTTCAATTTTGCATTGGGTGTCTACAAAACATTTTTCCCAATTTCATTTATCAAAGATGGAAAAGGTCAAAAACCACATCAAAAATGGAAATAAATTCAGACAGGAAAAAATGATTCAAGAAATTTAGCATTTTGGTTGTACATTCTCTGCAGGCATTTGTGTAGCAAATTTAAAAATAAAGATATAATAATTCAGTAAATGAAAATGATAAATACTTTAACAACAAAAATGCACTATGAACTCATATTTTTTTTTTTTGCATAAAATTTTTATGATCTTGAGCAAATACAGTACAGATTTATGTTTAACAAGAAAAGTTAAAATGCAATAATTTCAAGTCTTTTTAATTCATTTACTTAGTAAATGGAAAGTAGAATCTGATTTCCAGTAAGGTAGGGTAATTTTAAGAAGTGTTTTTAACTATTTAAAATTCATAATTTTATGGGCTATGGCCAATTCCATTAAGTTGAGTAGGCTTATTAAAACAGACCCAATAATACTAATTTTTTATAAAAGACGGCCCTGACAAATAATATGAAAGCGGAACACCTCCATTGCTCTTTCCTCCCCAAAAAGTTTTTTTTTCTAAGCAGTCGATCCCATAAAACAATTGTTCTTTATTATTCTTAAATAATGCACAAAAAGATTTGTTAGATAATTTTGAAAGTTATTATTAGAAACCTGGGAGTAAAATGTGAACTACAATAACTAAAGAGATTATGTTGTAGGAAGTATTCATTGAAACATAGAAAAGTAGAATTTATCATCTTATTATTCTAGGCTTATATGTTGTAATCAGTGGTCTCAGACTGAAAGTTCATGACCAACATCATTTTGAGATTCTGTGAAAAAATAATCACTACTAGGCAAATGAGCAATCTTAAACAGTTGCTTTAAAATAAAGTAGGGCTAATATTTATTGCTTTCTAAATCCAGTTTCAATTGATTAAAATATTGTTTTTAAAGTATCATTTTGCATTGTTTGCAGATACTGATATGATTAAATTAGTAAAGCTCTTTAAATGGTACATTATGCTCATAAAACATAACCCTGGCTTTTAACATACTGAATGCCTTGCTCCATCTGGTCTTGCTCTGTCATAAAGTAAGACATAGATGGCACACGTGGAAGATCAGCTGTTCGTGGGCAGCACTTCAGCCACTTCATGTAGACAAAGATGGCAGCTAAAACTACAATAAAACAGCCAATCAACAAAAATGATGTATCCAAGGTCCTGGAAGCTTTCTGCTTCTGTAAAGACATCTGGTTTAACTGAATCTCTTTGAGCCTTTCTATATCGCTGTAAAATAAAGGATAAATTATTATCAACTATTTAAATGGTGTTATAAAAACCCAAAATAAATGCATAAATAACATAAAAATTTGTTTTGTTGATGCGTTTTTGTTGTTTTTCAATAATAAAATTATCTAAATTTCAAATATTTTATCTCATTGCACAAGTTTTCTATTTTTTAGAATTAGAAACTAAATTTAGCAAAAAAAAGTTTCTTAAAAGATAACCTATAAGTTATTATAAAATTTAAAGACCAACAATTTAAATTTCAAAAGAACTAACCATGTGTAAGCATTTTATATGTTTTGACTAGGTAAAAATAAATGTCAAAAAATTAAATCGACAATAATAATTTAAGAACATTTCGAGGAACATAAAAAGTGTCTGATTGCCCTTAAAGATATGTCAAATTAAAGGTCTAGCTATAAGCTTTCCAAAAACATTAATTTCATCCATCTATCTTATATTATGGAAGTGGTGTTACGACTTTTAAAAAAAATTTTAAGCCCCATATATACTCCACAACATTTTTATTTTTAAAGATAATTGCATCAAATTTTCAGGAGACATTCACAATCTAATATAAAGACAAAGAGCAACACACCTTTTAAATTACACCATGACTTTTTATTTTGAATAATTTTATTTGAGAGAATGTTGAAAAAAAAATCATGAACAGAAAATTTAGAAACATTATTTGTAAAGGCAAAAAAAAACAAGTTTATTATATTTACATTTACATAAAATATATGCTTCAGTTATATTTTAAATCAATTGTTATATTTATAAAAGGTAAGAAGAAGTCTTTTTTTTTTCAATATAAAATTGAATACTTGAGATTATAAATTATAAATAAAAACTACTAAAATACCCTTAAGACTAATACGAGCAAACCAGTATATTATTAAATTTAGAAAGTAATGGGGATGTTCTACTTGTCATTTTCAATGTGAACTGCTCTACAAATTTCTTGGTCTTGTTGATGAATCCCACAATCTCTCCTTCATAAACTTTGCTTTGACATTTACGTCCAAACTTGCCTCATTTTGATGGAAGTGGAAGACATTCCACAAAGATCTTCAACATAAAATTAACATTTTCTATTGTCCTTAAAAGAAGTCTGGCAATTACATCTAATCATAATCCAGAATTACATAATTTCTAGTCTCTTTTTAATATTTTTCAATTTTTTTAGTTTATATAAACTCATTTCTTTTTTTAAAATGTTAGTTGATATATTAAATATTTGTCTATCTAAACTGTTTTCTATGTCCTTATTCAAATATAATTACTATGATGATGTTGTTTGAGTCTTGTTTATTTATTTGATGTCTTTTAATGAAAGTTTTATAGGCTAATTTATATATTTCCTAATTTTAAAGAAGACTGTTATGTCAACGATTATAACTAACAAAAAAGTATTAATGTAATAGATGCTTACCAAATCGTTAAGATAATCCTTGTTGTCCGTGACAACATAAAAACTTGTAGCATAAATTTCATAGAATCACCGAAACACAAAAACAGATACCTCACTGATGAGGAAAGCAATTATTTAAGAAAAAAATGTGACGTATTATGCGATTTTCCATAAATAATGCATAGCCTTATGCCATATTGTAGAGCAAGTTTTATCAGCATTTTTCGACATGCGCAGTAGGATACACAGAGCAGTATCAAAGTACCTAACATAAGTAAACATTAAACATCATTTAAAAAAGCAATATTTAAATAATTACTTTGTAATGAGCTATTGCTTCACAATAAACTGTTTTGTTTTATCTGGAGTTAAAATTACAAAGCAAACCTACCGAAGGGGTAAAAATCTAGTCTTGTAAATAAGAGCACCCAGAGTCCAGCCTACATCTTTCCCATTTACTAGCTGGGCAGATGTCAATTTTTCATAGTCACTTGGGAAAGAAAACCCTTTATGGAACACTTGAGTCATCCAGGCAGACTTAAAGCACTGAAATCTGCAAGCATTACAATTACATTTGTTGAAATAATTAATGCATACAGACTGATAATTTTTTTTTTTGCCAGCCATTCCTGAATATTATTGTTGCAAAGTTAAGCATATAACACATTTAAATATAGTCAGATATTTTAAGGTATAAAAGGAAAACTTACCTAAATCGATGATCATCAGCTTTAGGGTAAAGTTTCTTTTTATACCTTTCTTCTAGTATATTCCAATTAGTACTGCAAAACTCCTTAAAAAAAAAAAAAAAATTTAATGTGACATGTCTAATACCTGTAACAAAATTTGAGAATAGGAATACCTAATTTATTTTTACAAAAACAATTAATTTTATTTTAACATTGATTTAACAATATATCATGCAAAAAAACTAAGTTTTATTAGGTGTAATTAAACAACTAACAAAAAGCTTTATCGGCAGAAATTTATTTCTTTTTAAATTGCAGACAGTTTAATAGTTTGAGTGAGCAGCTTCTGACCTGTAAAAGTCTGGAGACTGCTTAAAGAGACATATTTTTAGCATTGTATATTATCTTACAACATAATAGGCAATGTGATTCTCATGTACCTTGGCTTTTTCATGAAATTCTTTATAAGAATAGCGTCCACCCATTCTAAAAACATCTTCAGTGCTATACCAAAACTCGGAAAAACCATAAAAAAGAGAGGATAGATCAATATGTGGTTGGTGGATGCCATTTAAAGAGCAAGGGCTTTGGTTACATGGTATTGTTAGATTCATTAACGGCTCTAGGGCTGATTTGCAAGCCTCATAATCTCCTTGTCCAATGAACTTATGCTGGCCATCTCCTTCCTCATACTTCATACCAGCTGGGAGACAAACATCTTTTATGGCCTTTTGCTTGCCATTTAAACTGATGAGTACAAAAATAGAGAAGGATATTAATACATTTGTTTATACTTTCAAAATATATCAATAGGGCTGTGTCAAAATATGCCATTCAGTTATATATCATGTTAACAATTGTTAATTAACATAGTAACAGCACCCGACATTTGGACCAATCACTACTTGAAAAATATCTTCAGTGCTATACCAAAAACTCAGAAAAACCATAAAAGTGAGAGGATTGATCATTATGTGATTGTTGGATGCCATTTAAAGAACAAGGGCTTTGGTTACATGGCATTGTTGGATGCATTAACAGCTCTAGGGTCGATTTGCAAGCCTTATAATATCCTTGTCCAATGCATCACTGATGGCAAATTTGACCTAAAATTGTTTAACTCAGTACTTGGGTGTGAACTAGTCTTAACATAAGATATAGATTTGAAAGACATAAGACAAGCTTATTTTAAAAACAATAGAGTATTTTACTTCACTCAATGTTTTAATAGAATGATTCTTTTCAAATGTACCTTTCTCGAGTAGAACTTTGCTCCACTAACATATGTTCATATCTGTCCCGTGCAGAATTGGCTCCAAAACCCAGGAATGTTGTGACATAAACATTATAGGTATGATCTTCATCACTGTCTTCACAGCCTAAATTGAACTCTGACAACAAAGATGGTGGTATCTCCTTGATATGCCTCTGCAAATAAAATTTTAATAATTGGTTATTAAACAGTTTAAAAGTTTCTAAAAGTCTGAAGCCAACATTAAATATAAAAAGACAAAGCCCATAGTAATAAACCTCTTGTCCAGGTTTTCAGTTGGCACATTCAGTAAATTTGTACATGCAACAGTCTTCAAGCATAACATGAGACAAAGTTACATACTCTCATCCCTTCTTTGTAACAATCTGAGATTGTATATAACAGGGTTCCAACTCTTTTTTAAAAACAAAATTCCCTACTTTTCTCCAACTTTTCCCCACTAAAAACAAAAAAATTCCTGCCAAATGTAACGAGGCGTTTTTGTTTATAATATAAAAAACCATGTAATTGTCAAAGTAAAGCAATATTGAATTACAACACAAATGATAAAAAAAACTAAGCGATTGAGGTGTATACATGTAAATATTTATTGAATTTCCTAGCAATAGCAATTTTCAATTTACTTAGATGTGAAAAAATTGTTGATGTTTTCTTTTAAAGTGCAAGGGCAACTTTTGCAATGTGTTCTTCAGGGCATTTTAGCCCATATGTATAACTACCACAACTGAAAACCATCTTTTCTTATATGGAGTTAACGTTCTCTTTTTTGTGATGAAAATGGATAGTTTGAGTCAACACACTTTAGTGTCTATAAAATCTCTCCAATGAAGGTTTCATATTTTGACACATACATTGGGAGCTTGGCTGAGAATTTGCAGAACTGGAGACCTAAGATAGGTGATAAAGCTGAAGTCTCATCAGATGATTGGCATTTTAAAAATATTTTTGCCCTGAATACCGGTACTTGTTGTCAAAATTTCCAGCATAGTGAAGCAGTGATGACTTGTTCAACCATTATCATCATAGCTGTCCTGACCATCTGTCTTTACAGGAACTGTTGAGCCTTGATCCTGAATAGTGAAACAAAATAAAATATAATATCAGATTAATATTATGTTTATAATTTACAGTAAGGCATACATCATATAGACTATATTATACCCGTTCTAAACTACAGTAATATAGAGTTAGAAGAGATACTAAGATATGCATAGGAAACGGCATAGTCAGGATTTTCTGCAGGGGAATGCATCATTGACCAAACCCCCCCCCCCTTACTTTTTTGGGGTATCCAAAGGACCCCCACACACAAAAAAAAAAAAAACAATCCTTGCCTACGCCACTGTGCTTATGAATAATAGTATAATACCCTAAAGTATTGGATTTTCTGCAGGGGAATGCATCATTGACCAAACCCCCCCCCCCTTACTTTTTTGGGGTATCCAAAGGACCCCCACACACAAAAAAAAAAAAAAACAATCCTTGCCTACGCCACTGTGCTTATGAATAATAGTATAATACCCTAAAGTATACCCAGAGTTTGGCTCACTGAATCGATGTATCAAGTCCAATCAACTAGTTTTAGTTTTATTAACTTTTAAATGAATTTCCCAAGTCAGCCGTAAACTAGCTAACTAATCTATGCAAAAATAGTATCACAAAATAACTTAATCATATGAGCCTATTTAAAATTAGAAGGCCTACTGAGTAATTAAATGTAAAGTGAACTTAAAGTCCTTTAAAAAAAATAATTAAAGGCTGCCTAGCGCTAATAAAAAAAAAAAATACATGTCGCCCACATACAGTAAAAATGTTAAAAATCAACTTATGAAGACTACAACATAACAAGGTACACTAAGCTTAGTCATTGTAAGCAGCGCTTGGATGAGTAGTTTTCTATTCATAATGGTTACCTCACAATTGAAAACTAGATTCAAATAATTAATTACTATATTTTACACTTTACTTACCCAAAACAGTCAAACATCTCTTGATCGGTGATGTGAAAAGAAAATAAATATTTCTGGTCTACCGAAGTTGTACGGTAATAGTAAAAGAAACTAGTAGAGCTCAAAACGCATGTGCTCTTAAGGGGAAAACACTAGCATTTTGGCAAGGTCCTTTGGATAACAGAAAGGCTAAAAATAGACGAGATCGGCAATTAACGTCAATTTTCATGGCATGCAAAGCCAATTTTATTATTATTTTTTACAAATTAAAAAATTACCGACTATCTGGAAAATTTACTAGAAAGCTCATTTTCTCTGTTTTCACGGCCGGGAAAATTATTCAATCAAATTCACGACTATTTCCTTTTTTCCCGACTGTGTTCACCCTGATATAAATGTATTTACTCCACAAGGATATACTCCACATTAAGAACATCTACACACTACTCAACCCTAAGAAAAAAATTAGCTCTTCAAAAATAACGTACCTAATACTCTTTCATTATCTACACAAAACTAATAAACAACCAGAGGACATCATAGATAACAATACAAAAGTTTTAAATGTAATTCACAAATCAAACACTCCTCATGGATTTTAAACATCTCAAAACACAGCAACATTTTTAACTCACAGGGCTAGTGACTTCAAATGCAATCTGTACTGAGCCACCTCCCATATCTATAATGCCAACAGTCCTTTTACGAGTATGCTTACTTGAGCTATCTTCGGCTGAGTGTAACATATTATCTGTTGCTGACTCTGAACCTGAAGATAATAACATAAATTGCAAAAGGAACAATTAATACATATACTTGCATATGGATCGCACTATAGATATGTTGCAACCTTTGTTTGGGGTTATTTTGGGTATTTGCAGTAGACTCGCTGAGGATGCACTTTAATCTGGAGAGTTAGATATAACTTATATTTTTTTGCAAGTGTTTTTATGAAAGCATGGCATGCTATTTTCTTATCAAGTGTGATGCTGCTTCGTTAAGACAAAAACTTGAAAATTATAGTCTCTCTTGGTCAATCAGATAATATATGGTAAATATGAGCAATGCATATCTAGCGTTTTAATTTGATGGGGTACGATATGAAGAGGCAATTGCATATAATTGAAATGTCTCTCTTGCTCTGGCCTATGCGCCTTGTTAGTGTTGCGCACCCTTCTACTTCCTGATATGTAGAGTGGATGGGTCGCAACTCTGAATTTTATTTTGGTTAAGAAATATATTTGTTTATATACGGTGAGCTCATAAGATTTTATCCCCATAATTTCCTCTCATAATTTATAGCAATAACAGGACAACAGACAACATGATGTTGATGAAAGAACAGAAGGAAATCTAGTTTAATAAACCATAAATACCAAAAGCTGTAGGTGAATGTGAGAATCTGTCCAAAACATAGTTAATAGCTATCCATGCATAAACTCCCTCCTGCTTGCCAGAAATAACTTCAAAATGGTTATCTGTTGCAATAAAATTGAACTCCTTTGTTATATCTCTTTGTAAATCTTGAAGAATGGCTTGCTGAGCACTGAAAAAGATGCAACAGATCAATTAAACTGAATTACAATGAAAGTTATTCTTCCATAATCTTCTTTAGATTCTTAGAGCTATTAAACCTTGAATATAATTTATTTTAACTAAGATTTTTTGCAAAACAGATTTTAAAATAAAAAGGACCGTCAAGGCATCTTTCTATAAAAGAATTGCTTTGAGCAAATATATTATTATTTATAATTACCAATCCAAAAACTAGTGTTGCACCATTTAATTTTTTTACAATTTTAGATGTTAGCAATAACCTCTACAATAGCACACCTCTGGCCATGGAGGTTAATTGAATATATCTAAACAGATAATGATCTGCTTTTATGTTCCTGTTCTGAGTCTAGGTGCAAGGATCTGTTGTTTGAGAATTAGATGTGGAGGTCAATTATTGTTTCTCCCCTTGGTTAAAATAATATTTATAAGCTCTCACTCTTGGAAAACTAAATCACGGCCTGATGTTAATTAATTAATCATGAAATATCTTGAAATACCTACAATTAATAAGAATACAACATTTACCCATTGCAAAATTGAACTGCCACATAGCTTATCTGTACAACCTTTTAATTTATGAGTATGGTAGGTATTTTTAATAACTCCCCTAAAAATCAAACAGGGCATAGATATAATGATAAAGCAACAACTGACATAAAAAGGCATCTTGTGGGCACATGTCACTTTACTAGTGGATCAGGACACTTGGTCAAAACCTCAACCACATGCAAAATAAAAAGATCGACATTATGCAACTACACAAATCTTTTTTAATTCAATATTGCCACAGAGAAAGCAAAAATAATGAGAGTGGAAACAATAGCCAATAACATGAACACAAAAAAGAACTGAAGAAGAGCAGCTGATTAGGGCTGACTCATTTGAATAACATACAATGAATGAGTTAGGATACAGAGATGTCAGCCACAAAGTCCAGAGAGCAACTAGATCTTTTCACAAAGGACAGGTGGGCATGACCCTAACCACATATGGAAGAGGTTAAAAGGAGAGCCATGAGAATGACATGGAGTTATATGAAGAGGATGACATGCAGAGCATAATGGAGAACATAAATGGCTTATGCCCCACTCAGTGCACTACAGGAATAGATGATTTTTTTAAACATATTATATCATTATTGTTTCAATGACTTTAAAATAATGGCATTCATTTTCCACAGCCAAATATTAATATGGTGTATAATTTAGTATAATTGTCTTTTGTTTAAATTTCTTTTACCTCTGTGACAACATTCTCATTCCAGCAGTTGCCATGACATAAAGTGATGTTTCTACATGCTTTTTTTCTGGGATATATTGCTGAGCATAGAGTAGTAATTCTTTGATATGGTCACTTGCAGCATCCGGGTTGTTTTCAAATGAAGACAAGCCTGAAATAATGTAATAATTGCACTTTCAGTTTCTTTCCTTATTGTGTCTGCATAAATAATCTTTAAACTGGAAGAATATTTAACAAAAAGTTGTTAAAAAACTTTTAGCATTCAATTACATTTTTATGATAACACATTCTTTTTAAAATGGTTAAACTATAAATTCTTACCTGGAGACACCTTTTTTACTACAGCATTTCCTGAATCATCAACCAATTGTTGTATATTCAGCAAATCTTTTGGATTTCCAGAATGTGTGGGCCAATAGTAAACAAATATTCTACTACCACTGCTTCCACAATCAATCACAATTCCATAATGTAACTCATGTAAATTTTCTTTGGTTTCTGATTCGGATATTTTAAAAATATTTGACCAAGGTATAAGAATAACTAATCCAGCAACAAATACCAAAGCAAAGATGATCCATCGCCACATTGTGTATAAGTTGTTTCCATTTGTTGTTGAACAGGGACAATTAAAATAGATTCTGCGGAAATGTTGAAAACGACAATAGTAAATGTGTTCTTATTTGATTGACATTTATGCTGATATCATACAATCCAATTTAAATATACAGACTGATCAAGCAACAAAGACAAAAATATGAATGATTAATAATTATATTAAGAATACTCTTGATTAGTTTTTATTCAAATAAAATCAAATAATCTTACAATTTTGCTCTGAAATAAAGCGTTGAAAATCTTGATATGGTATATACATATCATAAATATTTTCGAAAATACAGAAGAATAAAATTAACTTGTCTAGAATTGGAAAAAATACCTGGCCATGTTTGATTTCATCTGTATTTATTAACAAACTGTTGTGTATTTTTTTTTTTATTAAAGTGTTGATTTTCTTGAATTCCAAACCTATTTTAAAATATAAGGCATGAAAATAACGTTTAATTATGAATGTATTAATTTGAATTCTAAAGAATATTAATAAACACAAAATTTGGTATCTACTCCATGAAACATCAATCATAAACAAAAAATTAAAATGTTAGGCATATGCTATTAAGTTTGTTTTATAATTATTTAAACCTAATAATTTAAAAAATTATAAAAACCAATGTAAAATATTTAGCTGCCACATTTCTTTAACTGTTAGGCTTGGTGTTGTTGAGAGAAAATTCCAACAGATTGCGAAAAAGCACTAATAACCCAAATCCAGTACACAAAAAAGGTTCCAAACTTTAATGCGCAAACTACAGAGGAATATCCCTATTAAATGACACTGACAAAATACTGACAAAAATAATTGCCAAAAGACTGCTGGGTGATATTGGTGTCGAGCAGAAATATTGAATACGAAGTGTCTACACGTCCGGCGCGCCGGACAAATAGTGCGCGTGATATACGTCCGGCGGGCATGTCACGTGACCACCAGACGACTAGTAGTCGTCATTATTTCGAACAAAGTGCACATTAGAAAATCTTGTGTGGTCTTGTGGTAGAGTGGTCGCTTGACTATATTATATTTGTGTGGATCAATGCCCAGTATGGGATCTTGTTTTTTTCCCCATTTTAATTAAACATATTTTATATTATATTTATATTATCATGTTCATCAGCAACAGTAGTTTCATGAGAAGTTTTAAAATATTTTGTAGCAATTTAAACAATTTAAAATGAAATCTTTTACTTTTATTGGTTGCCTACTCCATACTGAATATTGGCCCCTTATTTATCTGATGGATTACTGGTACACAAACTCAAATAACAAACTAAACAAAAATTTTTACAAGCCACTTTCACTTCAGTTTTTTTCTATTATTTGCATGCAAGATACTCAATACATTACTTGGTAGAGAAATAGATTTTTAAAATTAAAATAGTTTTGAATCATTCGCGGTCAAGTGACAAGGCTGATGGACAAAATATCTCTCCCCACTTTGTTACGGTGGTCATGTGACTTGGTCGCCGGACGAATAGTGCGGGAGATATACGTCCGCCGGACGTGTAGACACTGCCTATTTAATAACAAGAAAAACATATTTTAAGACTGACCGATAATAATTTGTTGTTCAGCCATTTTCTAGTTTTGTTATTCTAGATTAAAACTTTTTACATGGTTTGCCTTCTTATGGTAAAAAACTATAACATTAACAGTGTTCAATAAAATTCTTATTTTCTCTTTTAAAAAGTCAACTCAAACTTTAACAGCTAATTCTTTTACAATTTTATAAAGAAGTGGGAAGTCAGAAACCCCTCAATAATTTGCTACGGCAGCATTTAGCATCTTTCAATTCTTTAAATCAAAATACACAGTGTACCCTCAATACTTCCAGTATTTTTCCATTCTCTATCCAATTCATTTATTAACGTCTCTATAAATTAAAGAATACAAGAAATATATATGGCATTCATTAAAATAATGATGTGACGTCCTCAGTAATTCATAAAAGTGCTTTGCCTCTTTGATATGACGACAATGTGGCGTCCTTGGTAAATGAAAGTGGATGATCGTGATGTCGTGTCAATGTCAGCGGTAACAAAGTGGTTAATTTTTTAAAATTTTTGCCAAAACCGCTAAGACTATGACTTAAACTTAGTCTACATTCGATGATTCATTCCGAATATGTGTAGAAGGAAGCATTGGGCTCTACCCAAAGCGAATTTTGCTAATGACGCTTTGCACTCTACTTCTACCCATCGCGTAATGTGCTTGGCAAGCTTGTCTATACTATTAGTAGATACTTCGATGAAAGAAGGGAGACTACTATTTTTTTTGTATCGGAAATGGGCATCGGCGCCGAAAAATCCGAGTTTTTAATTTTCCGATGTGTGTGTCTATTTATTATTAAATTAGTTCTTTCCACATATATTTGAGTTCCGTTTCCGGCCTTATAATTTGGAAGACATCTTGGCCTACATTTCTAGCAAGCTATTTTGCTTTTTTCAATCGACCTTTATTTTGAAAATCTTTGGTATATATAAGGCATCTTCGCATACAAAATTTTTTGTGAAATAATAAGATAAGGTCCTTTTTTATTAAATCTGTATGAGCATTAGATATTGATCTATATCTGTGCCAAGTTTCATTGATGTAGGTCGTGTCTCACGTTTGTTACACTTGTCACATTGACCCATATCACCATAAGGTGGCTCAGCCTAATTTCGACATGGCGTGGGCCACGCCCCCTTTTTAATGGCGGAAGTTGCCGATACTTAGGAAATATTTAATTATTACCACTATATACATCAAAATATTTTATATTTTGTGTTTCAGAATGCATTTTGAAGACATTTAAACTGGAAATGTTTTAATTTGAGCTTTAAAAACCCTGCAGAGTCCATATTATAAATGATCAGAATTTTCCCTGTGCAACACATTGTCATTGGCAACCATTCACAGCCACTTGCATAACGGCTACGTCGTAGTACTATCTCAGAGTTTCATTCATAAGAGTTTGCCGTGTGCAAAAGCTATTAAACCATTGGTCAGGGAAAGCTTTTATTAATTATTCATGTGCCAAAGTTGAAAGTTTAAAATAAGTCGACCCTAAACAGTATTTTAGTGATAAGGGAATGCTTTGCCTTATATAAACTATATAGTCATTGCGCATGACGCGATCGGCGGAATGAGGTCACAGAATGTGGAGATGCAGTCTATGTTAAAAAATGACAAACCAAGTCGTACTTTAAAAATTCATAACTTTAAAACTACAACAGCTAAAAATATGATTTTGGTGTTATAATTATGTTTAAAATTAGCTCTATTCAACTGTGCCATTGGTTTATTTTTAAAAAATGTTTACATTTTTGACCAAAGTATCTACTATTAGACTATTGTCTCGCCCTACCCATTTTTACTAACCTTAAATTTAATAGGCATAGGCAATATCAATAATTTAAGTTTTATAGTCAAAAAAGTTGGCATTGCAATGAATTAGTAATATAGCCTAGGCCTTCGAAAAATTTAATTACCTTGACCTTATAATTATACTATGAAGAAAGGCCTGTTTGCAGTGGACGATGTTGTAGTTGTAGATTCTAAAATCTAATTCCTAAGTCAAGTTCTTGAGAGACCAAGGCGGAGCCTCTCAGTCAATTTTTTTGAGAAGGCCGAATTATTTTAACTGATTTAGTTGTGATGTCAGTAGATAAATGTTTCTAAATACATGAGATACATTTTTCAATACCTTTTATTACTTCAATTTAACCATGATTTTTCAACTCCACTACGCTACGATTTAAAAATTAATTGGCCATTATACACAAATCAGAAATCTCCAATTCTAACCTTTAGTTAAAGCCGAAAATGGCACTATATTTTACGACAAAAGGATTTTGCATTTAAATAATTTTTATTTTTTCCTAAAGTAAGAATTGTAAAAGTGTGCTGTTATTATGATATAACAAATAATTAGTATTTTTTTTACAAAGTAGCTATTGTATTTTTGTCGTCAAAAAAACCTTACAACTTTCAGAACCCCTTAGAAGTTAGAAGTCGTAAATAGCAACATCAACAAATATGGCAGACGATATCCACGTCAGGTTGTGTCTGCAAGAAATAGTCAAGCTTGATTTAGAAGCAAAAGCTATTATTCAGGTGCAGATTTATTACAATTTGCTTATTTTAGCGCGATTTATTGTTTCTAGTGAAATAAATGGTATACCAAATAAATTTAAAAATTCATTTTCACCTCCGAAGTGGCTATTCGGAACCGGGTATCAGAAGTGTGAGTGTAACCGGTTATCTGATGTCAGAAGTTGTAAGTGGAGTGAGAGTGATTAAAAAAGTATTAAAAATATTATTGTTGGGTTTGTAGTGTAAGACAAAATTTGGTATCAAATGAAAGATAATTGAATGGACTATAATTATATGCTTTTAATTGTAAACTTACTTCTTCAATTTAACTAAATTTTAGTCTAAACTAAAAAATAAACTACCACAAATTACATCTGAATAGCATTTAATTATATATTTAAATTTAGTCTAAATTAAAAAAAAGGGACCCGGGTCCAAATAGCGGCTATGCTTAGGAGCCGACTCCGTTGACCGTGGGCGGGATCAGAGTCCCCCCAATGCCCCAAAGGCAGACTGCGGACGACAGTTGGCTGGGTCGCAATGCTCCCCTTTCTTGTATGCTCGTTGCCAACTATGTGTGTACCCCCAAACAGGTAGACGAGATTTGGATTTGGCCATAGGACTTGGCCGTTACGCAAATTTGTCAGTAGGTTCAATAGGCTATGTGTTCACGTGTACCTGTGGTCACTTGTCTTCTGTACATTCACTTGTCAGTGGTGGGAAGCGCTCTCTGCATTGGTCGGAAATCAATTTCCAATCCCCCTAGGGATGTCATTTGCACCACCTCCCCCCCCCCCCCCCCCCTAAATTTGCAGGTTTTATAACAGTTGCTGTGTACTGTGGTGCTTCCCATCTGTAACTGTGGCATATCACAACACCAGCAGTAAATTAGAATAATAATTTGCTGGATGCTGAGGTAACTTCCTGCAAAGAAAGAGCCTTCTCGTAGTGACTTTCTGTAACTGAATGCAGCACAGGCACACCTGAGGCAGTCCTGTCCTTGAGCATATATGTTCAATCTGCACAGCCCATTGCAGAAACCACATGTCATAATGTTTTTTAATAGGCGTCAATGCAGACCCCATCATAGGGCTGAATTAGGGTCGGACAAATTCGGCAGTAGTGTGCACAGCCACCATACTTCTTCATTGCGCATCTGATCAGTATCAAACACTTCGTGCATCAGCTCTAGTGTAGTCTCTCCTCTTTTTCTTCCTATCATAATGGTAGTTTAGTAATAATTATTTAAATGAATTCTGCTAAATAATTTTAATGGATGCGGAACTATTAATGGACATCAATATAAGATTAATTGTTTAAATAGCCCTTCAAACCGAAACAACTGGATTTTTTTCCTGTTTCGACGCTGAAGTGGTAGATTACTGTACCGCTCTTACTGCTTCCTTTCTGATATGAGTAGGTTTTGTTTACATTTGTTTTTCCAACCATTGCGACCTTTTTTTTTCGATTTGTGTTGAAACTATTGTAAACAAAACAATGGCCACGCCTAATCCAAGCACATCAGCTGTTCCTAGGCTATGAGACCGTCAAGTTTGCAAACAAAAGAGCTTTTTTTGTGAATTATTGATGCTGAAATCATGAATCATTTGAATCTGATTCCAGTGAAATCTGATGGGTCAGTAAATGCCAAATGGAAATAGAATGGTGATAGTCATAGTGGTGACAGTCTGCACTTTAGTAAAAATTTCAAAACATTTTTTAAAATACCGGTATATAAATACCACAGCTGTATTAGTATAAGACTAATAAAAGCCTAGAGAATGGATTACAAAAACCAGTGGCGTAGCGAGGCAGGTGCGGGGGGTGCGGACCGCACCGGGTTTTTAGGGGTGACACCCGATTGAAAAATTGCATATTTACAGGGCACACATTGCTCGCAAAAATCGAGATTCATAAAAGAATAACCGATCACACATATATTTTTCACAAATGTAACCAATCCAAATGCGTGCTTTATTAAAAGTTCTTGGGGGGGGGAGGGGGGGGGATGACACCATGAGTTTACCGCACCGGGTGACACGAATCCTAGCTACGCCACTGACAAAAACACCAAGATCAACTTGCTAGTTCAAGTGGTTCAAAAGTTATGAATTTTTAGTAAGGTCCTCAAAACCACTTTTTTACTATGGCGACAGTGAGGAATCAGATAATACTACTCCTATTGCTGCAAAGAGAAGGCAGAAATAGGCAGAAAAGATGCAGGATAAATGGTTTCTAAAGCCCAGAAACCTGAAACACTCATTTCCCTAGTGCCAACCTTGTGAAAGCCAGAGAAAAAGCCCATCAACAGTGCAGATGAGCGTCTCACTGAAAATAAGCACTTGGTTGATTATGATTGACAGTGTGCATACTGTTCAGTGCACAAAAATAATCAAGCATGGCTGCTATGTGTGCATCGGATGCACAGGAAGGCTTCATCTGTGTGTTTAGGAGTGCTTCAGAAAAGACTACACAAAAAGAAAGAAAATATTTTGTAAACAATGTGTTTGACATTTGTGTATATATACACATGCAAAGAAAATGTTTTCTTCTGTTAACATTAACGTTACAAAAATGTGTGTAACTCTTTCACGAAATGGATTATTTTCAAAATGTAAAATGCATTCCGATCAAAAATGTATATACTTTCTGATGATTGAAACATAATAGGATACCAGCTACACAGACCATATAGTGTTCATAACTTCAGTTTTACTACACATTTTTTTTTTTAATTTAAATTTTGATCTCATAATATTACCAATAAAATTTAAACTATTGTTGTCCTTTTGTTTTATCTTTTACATATTATTATTCTCTGTCTAATCTCCTTTAATTTGATATAAAATATAGCTATCTTGCTAAAAACAAAAACGTATTCAAAATTCATTTATTGATAAGAGCACCCTGGCACAAACGTGTAAAACCCCTTGGCATGGAAAGAATTAAATATGACTCGATTAACTATCACCATTTAATGCTAGCTCATGGTTGTTTTTGGGAAAACTTTCAAGTCAATTTCAGCAAGTTCATGATATTCTGCTTTGACTGATGATATTCTGCTTAGACATGAATCATGAATTTTAAAAAAAAGGTCCTGATAATGTCATTGTAGTGAAAATCATCTTGGTCATCGTCTAGATCCAACAGCTTATTTTGCAAAATGACATTTAAATCAACCTTTGATGCAACAATTGGATTAGAATACATCCAGTTACTATCCATAGATCATCTTTTCAGGAAAAGTAAACCTTAAAATATGAACTTTTGTAGAGATGTGTCATAAAGTTCATAAAGTGCTTCCCTTGCATCGATGAATTTAGTTGCTAAGTTGTGAAACATATTCAAAACCAGTTTCTGACACCTAATAATCTATGTTTCTTCATTGAACCATTGTGAAACACGAAACCATGATTGCCTTTCATGGATGTGGTGAGCTTATTTAAGCTGGCAAAGATATCTGGCAAGTAAGCCAACTTGGCTATTCAATCCAAATTGCCAAACAATCCTGACGAATTTTTTTTTTTTTTTCATTTTGCATTTTAAAATTCAGTAAGCTTCCTTCACAATTTAAAAACCCTTGTAAAGCGTTCCATTTCGACAACCAATGTACTTTTGCATGCAGCAGAAGTTGTTTGTGTTTAGCCTTAATTTCATCAAATAATGCTTTCTCCCCTTGATCACATGGATTTAATTGCCTTTCATAGAAACATTAGTTTGTGTTGCCCATTTTGGCACGATCGTATACTGCCAATAATAGTTTAGCTTGCCATGGTTTTTTCTTGTCTTTTAATGTATCGCAAATTTTTATCCAGCTCATAGCATCAGCTTCCCAGGCTCCTCTTGATGTGTACAAAGTGATGTATTTTTATAACCAAAGTCAATCATGAATTTTATAATTTAGTTTTAAACAGCGACACAAACATGTAACTTTTCACCAAGTTTTTTGGCCAGTGTTGAGCAGACTGGCAATGTAAAGCTCGTGGAGTGGCACCGGTCCGCTAACCAAAATTGGGGAACACTGGGCTAGGCATGGTGGTTTCCCAGGTCAACTACCATCCATTCAGTATTTGAAAGATTTTGTTTGTTATTTTTGTCTTGAAAGTGGGGAGCGTTCTCACATCCCCCAAAATTATGTTGAAATAGAGGGCTTCCTTGAAATGGCAAAATGATAGAAATGAATGGCATATAGGTACTTCTTTTTTCAACCAAACAAAATGCAGCACTTTTAGCCATGCACAATTTATCATAGTAGTTGTTTGGCCATCAGCAAGGATTAGTTGCATTTTTTTATTTCCTTTGAACCTTGTGAAAGTGAATTTTAAAATTTTTTGATAATTTCCATTTTTCATTTTAATAGATTTCATATAAATTTAATTCATTGTTATTTTTAGTTCATGATGCAAATAATGTCAATAACTGGAAAGTTATCACACACGTCATATTGTATAGGTCTAAGATGTCAATATTTAGAAACAGGGGGGGCATTTGCCTCTGCCTATATTTTTTTCATTGAACACCTTGTTTGCATTGTTTAAAAAAAATAAGATAAAGTTAAAGAGTTTTAATTATTTGTTTATAACTCTAGGACATTCGTCAAGATGTGGGTACCCTGGAAATGCTTGATGAGTTTAATGCTAAGGGAAGAAAGAAAATATCGGATCTTAGAGGTAAAATAGCGGTAAGCATTCCAGTATATAATTATGTGAATGTTAAATTGAACTATGTTTTTAATTGTCGTCATAAATAAAGATTTTTTGGTATGGTAAAACTCTGATAAAGCGTCGGTAATTAAAATAGACCCAAAACAGCTTTAATAACATAAAATACCCCCAACAAAGCTGTAGTTAAAACAGTGTTACGTTTATTTAAAATACCATTCTACTCTGGACACAACAGACTGTCTAATCACGGATAGTTTTCGACAAGCATAATCAGGAAGTTCGGAAACATGCCTGTGGGCCAAAACTGGTTACAATAGGCAAATTCTTGCAGATATGACGGAAACAATGCTCGACGAGTTCCAAATTGTCTTCTCAACTTCCGCTTAGCTCTCATCTCATCCACATGTTTTCGATGCGCTGGGTATGCACTTCGCTGTCATCAGGATCCACATGTTTTCGGTGTGCTGGGTCCCGATCCCTATTCCGTTTCAAAATGGGACACCATTAGGATCCAGACCCCATTGGAACCCAGATTGAGATCCAGATTGGGATTCCGACCCTACAGGGATCCCAACTCCATTGGGAACCCTTTTCCAAATTGAATACCATATCACAATAGGATCCCGACCTAATTCCAATCCATGGGGGTTCCCGACTTTGGTCGATCCTGATCCCAATGGGATCCCGTTACTGGTGGGTTCCCGATCCTATCTGGATCCCTTTTGCCGGTTGGATTTCGCTTTCTGTTGCAAGCCTGTACAGAACCTCACATCTTGCCAGGGACACACATCGTTTCCAATGGCTGGGCTACATACTCACACATAATCAAATCAGACACGGCACACAGAATATACGAGCATTCTGTTGCTGTTTGTGGATCCTGATGACAGCGAAGTTCATACCCAACACATCGAAAGCATGTGGATGAGAGCGAAGCGGAAGTTGAGAAGACAATTTGGAACTCGTCATGCTTTTTTTCCGTCATATCTGCAAGAATTTTCTTATTGTAACTAGTTTCGGCGCACAGTTATGTTTCCGAACTTCCTGATTACGCTTGTCTTGTCGAAAACTATCCGTGATTAGACAGTGTGTTGTGGTTCAGAGCAGAATGGCGCTTTAAATAAACTTAAAACTGTTTTAACTAAAGCTTTTTTGGGTGTATTTTAACTAAAGCTTTTTTGGGTGTATTTTATTTTATTAAAGCTGTTTTGGGTCTATTTTAATTACCGACGCTATATTGGAGTTTTACCGCTTTTTTACACGTTTTAAACATTTACTACCTGATATTTTTTAGAGAATCATAAATAACTTTATAAATTATAAAACTAGTATGATTTTTCCCCAGGAGCTTGAACGACTTGGTTTGGAACAAGAACGTGATTCAGACAGAGATGCTATTCTAGTCAATGTTGAAAGCTTGAGACAAAAATTGGCAAGGTGTTTCTGTCATTTTTTTAATGAATACCTTTACAGTATTTTAGTATTTGCAATGTGCTAACTGGTAGGAGGGGGGGGGGGGGTAAGGTTTAATGAAATTTTTATTACATCAGCATTGGAATTGGTTGTTGTTGTTGACAACACTGAAGGAGAAGAACCATACATTATACATTGATTTGTTCATAATAATCATTTTTAAAAGAAGGTGACTATTCTAGTTATTCTGAAATTTGAATTCTAATTGATATTCATAAAATGCTTTTTCTTACTAAAACAGAACTGTCACAAGTCTTCGCCAAGCTAGTTTAAGCACGAAGTTAACTCTAGATAAAAATGAAAAAAAGGAATTATTGAGTGGATCTTCCCAAGTCAGAAAACGGTATATTGACCATTTTTATCAACTGTTTTACCCTAACCAAAATGAGTATTGCCATGTTTGATGTGGGTAATAAATAAATAGTATTTAATTTACCTCTTAATTACCTCCATTAAATGACACAGTAACTTTGATGTTGACCTATATTGACCTAGACTGGTGCACTCTAAAACATTTGCAATGCCCAAAATTTAACTAGGTTATCTTGACAAATAAAAACTTTACATTATAAATTTAAATTCACTTGATACATGCCAAATCAATGAATCAAATTTTCAAAACATGCTTATAAATATTGTGTTCCTAAATCACTTGCTGTTTATTCTGAAAATTATTTCAGGAGTAGGACCATTGCTACTATTTTACCATTCAGTTTGCATTTGAGAAAGAAAAAAAATCAAAGGCTCTCTTTTAATTTCTGTAGGAATCAAGGAAATAAAGAAACTTTAGTCAAGACTGCCAACAATATTACAGAGAGCTTAATGAGTCTGAATCAAACAATGGCAGACCAAGTTAAACAGAGTGAATTAAATGTCACAACACTGGGTAATAAAACAGTGTTAATCATTCACTTTAATTTCTCCAGCAATGTATGCTGAAACTTTCTTCTCTTCTTAGCCAGTATAAGTCATTTATTAACTTTTTAATTTGTTCTGTCTTAACCACTCTTTTTAGCTCTAGAAATGATATAGTTATATATTACTAGCACTTGAAATTCATTCAAGAAACCCATCTTGACCTATGAAGTTTTTCGATTTATGAAGTCTCTCTAAACACACTTTAATCTAAATTGATAGCAGGGTAACAAATCGAGGAAGTTAATACTAATACTATGCAAAATAAACAGTCCATGATTCTTTAACAAAAATACAAAATATCCTCATTCAAGTCAATGTTAACCCAAAATTAAAATAAACAGGCTCTCATCAAGCAACTAGGAAAAGTCTAAAGTTAACCTCAAGCAGTGGTTCTGAACGAGTACTCCTAGGAACTCTAAGGGCTTAACATACTCTTCTCAGTGGTTCCGCTGCTGCTCAAAGAAACTCCTAAACACCATTATTTTGTAAGACATTGGGTAGGGTTAGGGGGCTTCCCAATAGAATTTATTTCAAAAAAGGCTTCAAAAGGATCTCTTGAACCATCCTTCCACAACATTTCACCGTTCAAAAAGGGATCCTGAAGGATCTCCTGAACCTTCCTTCCACAACATGGCGCCATTCGAAACGCAATATTTTTTTATATATTATTTAAAAGATACAGAAATGAATTTTTGTTTAAAATAATTGCATGAAACCTAAATGTGAATATTCTACAACCATTTTTAGTTTGATTTAGGATTTTTTTTTTTCAGCCGGATCATCTCAAGTTATTTCTGATACACATGAAGAATTTCATACCATGGGAGGTCATATACAGCATTCTCAACGTCTCCTCACCAAATATGGTCGACGAGAGTTCACCGACCGTTTGCTTATTTTGCTTGCTTTAATTTTTTTCTTTGCAACTGTATTGTATATTGTAAAAAAAAGACTGTGGCCATCATGATTTGAAAATTTCACCTTCTTTCTAGGAAATATTAAATAATATTAAGACAAAACTGGACTTTTGACTTTTAATTTTACAGAATTTACTCATTTATAAATCTGGGGAAAATCATACTATAGGGGAGAATTTAATCAAACCATCAATTTCAGCATTTCTTAAAACATTTCTGGAAAAAGATGACAAAGACATGAACGCCATGCCACTCCACTCAGTAACAATACTATTAACAAAAGAATAGATCAAAGAAAGATATTGAAATAAAACTTTATGAAAATTTGAAAACAAAAAAATTGTTAGTGCAAATGGATGAATCAACTTTGAGTGACAGTGAGGCCGTACTGATAACTTAGGTAAGACATATTGATGAAGGAGATTTTGCTGAAGAAATGTTTTGTAAATCATTAGAAAGCATGTCTAATGCCTAAGAAATATATAATAAGCTAAAAGTTACTTAGATGCCAATAATATACCAATTAAAAATATGATATATTGTGCTGCAGATGGTGCTCCTAATATGATGAGTAAGAAAAATGACTGCTTAAAACTGATGAAGGATGACAATCCAGAAATGATTCTTGTGCAATCTGTTATTCATAGCAAAAGCTTGGTAGCTAAAAATATTTCGCCTGTTCTTAATAAAGTACTAAACTAAACTAAATTCAGTTATAAAGTGTATGAATGCTATTAAAGCTAATGTCAAATTATGTGAGCGTCTCTCCTCAAGCTATTTTGTGAATAACGAAATACAAACCACGTGAGACTTTGACTTCACGCTGAAGTAAGGTGGCTCTCGAAAGGAAACTGCTTGATAAGATTTATGGAACTATTTGATACTCATGGTGATTTTTTAAGTGAGAAACCTGAAATGAAGTACCTGTTAACAGTTGATGGTAAAGCATGTGTGAGTTATGTGGCTGATATCTTTGAAAAAAATAAATTAAATGTGGCATTGTAGGCCACGCTTTTGACCTCTTGGTTAGGCTATCACAACATGCTGCATGAAAGGCTTTGTCCCCACCGCTTAGAATACTGAAATATTGGGAACCACTATGTGTGCTTTTGGTATAATTTCAATAATTTATTTCTCTGGAACCCTAGTGTGAATATGAATTATATCTTTTCGGAAAGGGTATTTATTTATTCGCTACACCTTAGGAATTTGCAAGTCTATATCGTTAGAGGGTATTGTAATATTAAGTAATTATGGGAGTTTTCACATCCATCCATTGGGGATCCCAACCAGTGGCGTAGCTAGGGGGTGCGGACCGCACCGGGTGACACCATCTCAGGGGGTGACACGAAATGGAAAATTGTCAGATTTACTGAGCACACGCTTCTCGTTCAAACCAAATTTCATAAAAGGATACCAGATCCCACTCAAGAGAGACGTTTTGAGCATGAATCAAACACTGATTAATGTGTTCGATAACTTTCGTAAGTGATAGGAAGCTATATTTGTCTAAGGGGTAATAAGGGGAGAGACTGCAACCAGGTTAGTACAAAATAAAATGAGTAAAACAGAGTAGGGTTAAACCTGAAAAAATAAACGCAACAAAACAGCGAACGTGTCGGCAGAAAGCCTTCGTCAGCGAACAAAACAACAGAAAAAAACTGTATAAAAATAAGAAATAGCACTTAGCTGGTAAGTAGTAACTGTGAGCAGCAAGTTCTATTTTTTTCTTTAGAAGATGTGTCAAACTCAAGGCCCGGGGGCCACATCAGGCCCGTCGTACATGTATATCAGGCCCGAGAGGTCTTGACCGGCGTACAATTTTATCCGACCCGAGACAGAATTTTAGGCAAAAATATTTTACAATGGCCCTGCGATATAAAGTGCATATCAAGTTCCCTAATTAGCAGCCTTCAGTGTTTCTTTCAGAAATTTCCCCCCGGGAGGGAACTTCAGATTTTCGGTTTGGGGGGGGGG